AGACTACAGGCCACAGCTTCCACAGCCTGGGGTGGGGGTCGCTAGCTTCGTCCACAGTTGTCGTGTTGGTGAAGTGAACGCAGCGCATCAATGCCTGGATGCAGTTCCTGCTCATGGCTTTTCCGAACATGGTGTTGTCAAAACTTCTTGTGTTCACCAGTACATCTCAATGTGTGGTTTGCCGACAACAGCCCTCAATATTATCAGTGCAATGAAAACGATAATCTCGTCCCAGTCTACTGGTTTCCATGCAGAACCCCGAGCAGCGAAATATAGGGTGACCACCCGTCCCGCGACTCGCGGGACTGTCCCGCATTGAGGGCTCGTGTCCCGCGTCCCGCAAGAAATTCCAAAATCTTCAAAATGTCCCACATTTCACATTATCGTGACATTCACTGCGCAAATTATGGCGCTTACAAACAACGGGCAACGGGGAACCGCGGAGGTCGCTGATAAATGTGTGAATCTCGATGGTATGTCATTTTCTTGCCAAGCAGTGCGGGAAGCAACCGTCGTTCTTGCAGGAGACTGACGCACATGTGCCGTTGTGCCTCTCCCCCAAAAGCTGAAAAATAAACTACCGTATTTGCACGAATATAACGCGACCACGAATATAACGCGAGGGCAGTTTTTGATGCCCCCAAAAAGAAAAAAAATATTATTACTATTATAACGCGAACCGATGCCGCGTCAATTTCTCGCACTCGGGGGCATAGCAGAAGTGAAAAAGTCAATGAATGGAAAGGGAAGAAATATCGGTTTATGTTTTGACTGCACTCATCCTCACTGCTCAGGTCCTTCCGTTTACAATCCACTTGGCGACTACGCAGGTATGCAGCAGAACGGCACCTGCTTGTCTGGTAGTTCTTTTTTCTTCCGTGGGAGCTCCTCGGCAGCCCACAATCCAAACAAGGCGCGGAAGCAGAAGCACCAACACACAAACACCAGACCACTCTGGGGCAGAAACTAAACAATGCGCTGGCAGAAAAAAAGACTGCTGAACCCGATACACGATCACACTTCTTGTTCTGGTCCCTCTTCGTAAACAAATGCCTCGTGTTGCACGATTGCGTAAACGCGGTCGGTGGTCTTGGCTTGGCTTGTGTTGATTTGACTTGGCCCGGCTTGGCCTGGCTCGAATTGGCCGGTGCCCGCATTCCCGCATGGCGCGCGCACTTGGCCCGGCTTGGCCTGGCTCGAATTGGCCGGTGCCCGCATTCCCGCATGGCGCGCGCGCGTGCAGCGTGCGCGCGTTGTAAAAACACAAAAGCGATAAAAATGCTTTTTTATGTTTTCTATTCGCCCCTTCACGTGGCCCAATGGCTAGAAAATGCCCCTCCACACCCCCACTTCTTTGTCCATTGGATCTTTTGCATTGAGCCGGAGGGATGACTTTCTCCTCTGGCTTTCTCCAGACTCGCGCGCCTCGTGGCTGAACTCGATTCCGAATATAACGCGAGGTGCGTTTTGGAGCACGTAATTTCGGAAAAAAACTCGCGTTATATTCGTGCAAATACGGTATTATAATTAGTTACAAATCATACTGTACCATGCGAAAAGGTTGTTGTGGAAAGCTTTTCTTTTTTTTAGTAAAGACTGGCCACAGAAGGCAAAAAACCTGCAACTCGCAACGGTAAAAAAAACAAAAACAAAAAAAAAACAAGGTCTTATTTTTGTGTAGGAGCATGTTAACATACGAGTAAAGGCGCGTTCACACTCTTGCAACTATGCTTGCAACCGAGTACGACCGAGAAAGACTTCTTGAGACCGGATGCGCTGAGCGGAGCTGGTCCTAAGAGATCGCAAGAGGCTTAAAAACCGGTTTGGTCTCTCTCGGTCGTACTCGGTTGCAAGAGTGTGAACGGGCCTTAAGTATCGACAGGAAACAATAAGCCGAAAAATATTTACTGTTTTTTTATTTCCTTTTGATGCATTGGGGTCTGGTGCAGTCGATCTTTATGTTTTCAACTTAGATACTTTTAATAAAATATTTACCATTACAAATAAACAAAAGTATATCACTGTGAGTGAAACTTAGTTTAATTGCCGCGTACAATTTTCAGGTGTATAATATGCTTTCGGACAGCACAGGATTTCGGGGTGTGCGCGTTGGTGAATTTCCCTTAATACTTATTTCTTGAGTCGTGAACATACCGTCCTCCTCCTTACTCCCTTCCCCCTTCCCCCCCTCTCCCCGGTCAGGGTGTCCCGCATTCCACCGGCAGGAAGGTGGTCACCCTAGCGAAATATGGGACCGCGTAACGGTTCGTCTCCATCATGATAAGGTCAATAATGTCCCAATCGAAGAAAACCTGGAACCAGCCGAGAGTATCTTTCCCGTCAGTGGGCTTCCACAAGATCCCAGGCACTGAACAAAAGGGAAACTGCGGAGGTGCTGGTGGCAGGTTTTTGGTGTTTGTGCTGCCACTCACCTGCACTACCTAGCGCGTCATCGTGGTTGCAGTCGCTCTTGTCCTCGTCTGAAGCCGTCTCGTATTCACTAACAATGTGGACTCACACTCGAAGACAAATTCAAGGTCTTCAGCATTGTTGCTGTCCAAACTACTGCAAGAAAGAGGTCGTTTTCTGGAACATAGCCACCACCGGCACTCCTCATGCGTGCCACCATTTTTAAAGCACCATTACCAGGCTAAACATGCGGCAAAGGTGCAAAACGCGTGTTATTTTTTTTCTTCTATACTTCTACTGCCCCCTGGTGTTTAAAATAGAAACCAAAACCAATTACTGACCGTAACTCCTCTTTGGCTCTGGCAGCAGCAATGTATGGGGCTCAATGATTGTGACTCGTCGTTGGCGATATTGGTAAACCTCCAATGATGAGTACAGCTTGGCCCTGGGGGTTAAAGGGTTAATTAAAGCTTAGATTTGGGTTAGTTGATCCATACTGAATCAGGTGGCTCTTGCAAAAAGTAGCAAATACCAGCTGGCAACCAGTTTTGTGCAGCAAGTTAAAGGTTGCGAAACATAGCGTACACCTCTAACCAGCTACTCTGAGTGCCATCTTTAAGAAATAGAGAGAACTAATGTAAAATACCGATTAGGCACCCGCCCCACTTCCACTGAAAACTGGGTTAAAGGGCAACGCCGCTCAATTCCAAAGATTTCGAGATAATGAGTGATTTCGCTTAAAAAATCCCTAGTAAAAGATGCTAGGTCATTTGCTTTGCGAAAAATGGGATGTATATATTTTTTAGATATCTTTTTAAACACGAGCAGAAATCAGAACCGAAACTTCAGCTCCATCCGGCAACATTGGCCTCGGGCCGCCAAGAACATGGCTATCACATGGTATGAGATGTCACGTGATCCTCTACGCAACGACGGGTGGGATTGGGGCGGGCGTGTGCCAGGCGCAAGTGTCGTCTGCATCTTGCCCTTGCTCTTCACCATGTTTTAGTGTCTACGACATTGGACGACGTCTGCACAACTGCGACATAAGTCTGCGCACATAGTGTCCGTAGTGTGGACGAAACTCCAAGAGTCAATAATTACAAACGGTGAGACAATGACGGCGGTTGTGACGCAAGAGATGGCGGTAACGGCGAGACCACGGTGGGGCGACCGGACAGCTCCTAAGAAGCGCGCTGCGCAGGTGTGTTACGCCAACCACGTGGACCCTGCTGAGCACCTAGAGGAAACGTTGCTGACGTCACCCGTTACGCTCGCCCGGAGAAGTAAATTAAAACAAGCGAAAGGGGGCAATAGTGATGATGTTGAGCTCAATGTTGGCTTCGTCCACGCCTTAGCCTTGACTGCGCTATTGGTTGCGCCTTAATTCACCCGCTTGAGTCAGCCGATTTCGGCAACTTGGCGAGTTACAAAGTTTGCCGGGCCGTTAAGAAACATTTAGACTGAACTAGGTCGTAATATTTGACGTGTGGTCTTCATAGGCGATACCGAAGAGGACAGCATTGTTTTTTTAAAAACAAAAATGAAGCGGAGTTGCCCTTTAATCTAGACTTGGGCACTTATCCGGTCAAATCGGCTGTGTAACATATAATTTGCAGAATTCCAAAGTTTGGGAAATGTGAATAGTGGACACTTAAACGAAGTGGCCGCTTCCGCGGTATTTTACGGTAGCCAACAAAGGTGCAGCCAGACAAAGATATATAAAAGGCACATACACATACATACTTGCATAGGGTGTCACACAACATTAAAAAGATAGCTGGTAAATACAATGTTCACTTTTTTTTTTGGTCAGCTGTTTCAAATCTGTGATGCTGACAAGGCAGAAAAAAGCATTGTGTTCCAAGAAGCATGCACTGCAGTATACTGAATGTGTCATTAATGTTGTATATGAAATACCGTTCAGTTGTGGGAGGGCCCCCCCCCCCCCCCCTTAGTCCTCAGAGTGGGGGGGCAAAGCATGTGTTTTGCCCCCCCCCCCCCCCCCCCCCCCCGGCCCTGGGGAGTTCTGGTTTGCCCCCCGCCCTCCCTCTCAAAAAGAAGTTGGTATGCCACTGTTTGTAGGGCAGACTGGTTGCTGTTTTAATGATAGAGCACGACAACATACTCTTTGTGTGCACAACAACGTGGGGGGAGGGGGGGGGGGGCATCTTGTGACCATTGTAGGTGATGTGATTGGAAACCTGGCTTGGCATCAATAAATAAAAAAAAAGCGAAATATAAAACTGGCACAGATAAAGGCGTTTTACATAAAAAAGACATGACAATTGCGTGAGCACACCTTCTATTTATGTACTAAAAAAGAAGGGACTTTTCTGGATGGCCGTTTGGAAGAGCGGCGATTGGTTGTTATGCAGGTCAGGCAAATGAGAGTGTATAAAGAAGTGACTTTGGCTTCTAGTAAAATCAGCTGAGAGTTAGCGCCTGTACTATCGTCTTTTTGTCCCCATTTTCCTTGTCTTGTTCACTCTCTTTAACCTTTTAATCAGATATTGGTAAAAGGGCGCATACCCAAACAAATTTATATGCCAAGCGTATTTGACATCGAATGTGGTACTGCTCTTCTGCAGGAACCTTGGGAAAAGCCCCGACTGCGGTCACAGAGTCATTACCCTCGGAAGACGTCGAAGTGGCAGGTCCCTCAACCTCTCTTGCCGAGGACGAAGACGATGACGTCTCTAAAATGCAGGAAAGGCTGCAGGCATTGCGCAGCTGAATATTGGGAGTCCTTGTAAAAAGTAAATGCGCTGTTGTTATGCTTCAGGAGATCCGGGCCTTTTTCTTTTCTTTGTTTTTAAATGTCTTGCAGTGCTATAATGGCGATCTCTCGCAGTTCGAAAGTGTCTTTGCAGACAATTTGTTTCCGGTAGCAGGAAAGCCAAGGCATTCTTTGCAAACATCCTGCTTATGGTTTGCAAGCTTACATTGTACCGATAGCTTTTGCGTCACAAAGTCTGATCATCTCCCAGTTTATCAACTGACCGTGGTTCACCTTGATGTGTGGAGCATGCACTCTACTCTACTGTTGGCCAAGCACTTGCGTTGTCATAATAAGTGCTTGAAATAAGAGTTGTGTAACTTTACAAATTTTTGGTAGTTGCCACAGAGTAGTGTCAATGGTAGCAAGCACAATTTTGGACTGCTAAGCACTCATGTTTGTTTATGAAAGCGTAAGATTTTGTATTTATGTAGATGCCGATTATTGCCGAAGATGTTGATGTGCAGAGCATGAATAAATATGAGCAAAGTACAAAGAAGCAATTCCTTACCTGAAAGGCTGTGGATGGCAAGGCCAACTACTGTACCTCGAAATAACAAGGAATGAAAAAAAAAAAAAAAGTCAATTTATGAGAACGTCCTAATTTTTCAAACCATAAATTAGTGTTCATTGGAAGCATCATAACTGCCATACGAAGCAGAACCCCCAACCACTACTGATCGTTAGAGGATGCTGCCTTATTTCTCACAGCCTTTCAATACCCCTACACTTCCAGTTTATTATACAAGCACATCGCGCCACTAGCAGAGGCAACAGTGAGGTGGATTCAGCAGCCTGTAGTGTCTTTTTGCATACGAAGCTATGACGGCGGAAGCGCGCACGGACGGAACTTAGCTTGTTTGAGCCGACATATTGAGGGCGGCATTGCATGAAGGCTGGGGCAAACCTGCAAAAGCTGACCTAGCTTTTTTTTTTTTTTTTTCGCTTATATATCTCAAGGAATAAATATGACATCTTCAATCAGTCGCACTGCAGGCTTGATTCCGACAAAAAAACCTCCCGTCTTCTAGACTGTGAAACCGCTGCACTCTTTCACAAAACTGCACGATGTAATGATATTCTGAAATTAATCTACGATGAATCCACTGAGCTCGGGGGGGAAAATAAAAATCAAGATGATTTAAAAGATCATTCAAATCGCCCCAATTTCACTAGGATCATTTTTCCACGGAAACACCTTTAATATACAGAAACCTTTCCCACCATAATCCAAAAATAATTTTATTTGTTTGTCATCTGATGTTTTAGAGCGCAGCTCTTAGGCGCCCGTTTCCGGCTTGAGCGGCGTCGCCGTCGCCGTCGGCGTAACCGCGCGGTGCATTATGGGTAAATTTTCCCGCTAAATTTAGCGGAAAAATTTCCCCGCTAAATCTAGCGAAAACATTTCCCCTCTAAATCTAGCGGCAAAATTTCCCCGCTAAATTTAGCGGCAAAATTTTCCCGCTAAATTTAGCGGAAACACTTCCCCACTAAATTTAGCGAAAAAATTTCCCCGCTAAATCTAGCGGAAGAATCTCCCCGCTAAATCTAGCGGAAAAATTCCCCTGCTAAATCTAGCAGAAAATTTTATTTGGGGGGTCACATGACCCCCGCCGAGGTCACGTGACCCCCAAGGTCACGTGACCACACCCCCAGGTCACGTGACCCTCACTTCCCCCCCCCCCCCCCCCCCCCCCCCCCCCCCCGAGAACACGTGACCCTCAGTACCCTTCCCTCCTCCTCCTCAAGAGCTGCGCTCTAATTCGGCGTTACAGGGAGTTGTAAAAGGCTTTCATTTTTTAATGTGCATTTATTTTGTTTTATAGCAAAAAAAAAAGTCACAAAATAAGGAAAACGCATATTGGGCTGAACATGAGCAAAATGTGCTCGTCTGGACGAATCAGAGAGGTGAAATTTGTTTTTATCTTATACTTCTTTCGTTATATGGTTTTATGCAAGTCAGAATATGAAGGAAAGAAACAAGAAAAGTATGCGTGCATACACGCGCACACACCGGCAGAGTGTCTTGCACGAGCTTGCTGCTGCTTTTACGATATCTCAACAACTTACGCACCTTGGAAAAAAAAAAAAAAAAAGGTAAAAAGGTGCGGTTAAAGGGTTTTTGAAAATAATTCTTTTTTTTTTTTTTAAACAGTCTGGTTTGGACACACGTGTCAAAAAATTAATTTTACGCGAAAAAAAAAAAAAGAATAGAGCGATATTGACGGCGCGAGATTCATTCTAAGTTCTGCGCGCAAAGTCCATGACATCACGGAATGGTCATACGTTATACACTTCTCTCCACCTCAACGTGATGGCCAAGCCGTCCCACCTCTCCTCCACGCGCCCGAGACGCCGCGAGAGAAAAAAAGTGGAAAGGAGGTGACTACCGATTAAATCACGAATTTTTTTTCGCGTAAACGACACGGGTGTCCTGACCAGACTGTAAAAAAAAAGAAAAAAAAAAGAAATATATATATATATATATATATATATATATATATATATATATATATATATATATATATATTTATTTTTTTTTTTAGGAGGGCCCTGCAATCATATTTGAGCGGCTACCTTTTTTTGCGGTTTCCACGTTTATTGGGGGTTCGGGCGAGCCCATAGAGTTACTATAATGTACGCTAGAGGTTCAACTGGCGGTAGTGTCTATGCGACTTCCGGGAGGCAAATTGAAGCAGAGAGCAACCAGTCTACTTTAGCGGTGTTCCTGTGCATTCCTATGCGAAAACGCGCGTTCGAATGTAAGAAATAAAGTACGTAAACTACAAAAGGTGTTTTTTTTTTTTTTTTTTTTTTTTTTTTTTATTTCCTATGTTGGGCAGTTTTTATCGGGCACCTGCTCTCTGGCTCCCCCTATTTGCAAAGATTTGGAGCGTGCGGGTGATGATTCGAACCCAGAACATACATTTTTGCACATATTCACGAACAGAAAGAATAAAGCAGTACTTATTTATTGCAAATCTGACTATATTACGTGGCTTTCAATTTATTTTGATCGCCTGCATGCACAAGGAATTAGTTATCCAGTGTTACTGCGTAGTTCTTGCCGTCTCTCTTGGTTTTCCACATGTCCTTCGTTTGGCACGTATATCCCCCATGGTGGAAAGCGCCGATGCTGTGTTCGCATGTACGAAGCGGTTTTAGCACCGTTTTTCATGCCACGAATTTCCAATAAAGACTCCGTAACTGACCAATTATTTCGTCTGCGTCACTGAGAAATGTTCCAATGTACCAGTACGTACGAAATATTCGTGATATTTGCTGTTATAATAGAGCGCAGCGAGAGAATGCACCCGCTTTTTCCCATAGAAATGCATTACCGGAAGTCAATTTCGGACTGGTTGCTGTCTGCTTCAATTTGCAGCAGCACACTAGCGCCACTTGAACCTCTAGCGTACATTATAATAACTCTATGGGCGAGCCAGCGGGGACGGAGAGAGTAACTAAATATCAGTGCATCATATTTTAATCTGACGACGCGGAAACCTCCTCCAATTACGGAGACGCTCCGTGGTGCCGAAAGCGCGGGACCTGTGACGACATCGTGACGTTTTTGGTCCTGGCCTTACTATTAGTCAGAGCCGCTAAAAGGATTTTTTTTTTTTTAGTCGAAGTTTGAAGGTGGTTTCATTTGAAATCGAACACGCTGTCAGGGTGGGTCTTCCGATTTGTTTAAAAAAAATATATGTAATTGCCCCATTTCCGCAATATATATATATATATATATTTTGCTTCACAATAAAATTGTAAGTGCAGCAGGGTGAAAATCTGTTTTTTACTCCGTGATTTTTCTACCCAGTTCTGTACGCTGGTATGAATACGGAAAGCATACAAAACTCACAGTAATGTTTTGTGTGCTTGTATGTTATTCCGACTATTTTTTCGTTTAAACAAGAATACTTTTGTATTTTTGTTTACTGAGGTAAAAAAATGCCAAACATCATCTCTTTGACAATCTGGTGGCATCTTCAGAGCCTTGTACTCGTGAGTTATTATATTTGTCGCTTACCAAATAATATGCGGGTGTAGTCCTATACTTCGTTTCAGCTTCGGTCCGAGCGCGGCCACTGTTATGAGCCGAAGGGCCAATCAAACAGCGAAAGAGGCACATTGTCATGGCGTGCTTTCGGCAGTTGATAGGACCAGCCGGTATTCGCCGTTTCTCTGTGCGTGCTCCCCTGCCGGCTAGTTCTAGAAAGCGCAGAGAGCGCGCCATGGCGCTGCGCTTTTTGCGCTGTATGATTGGCCCTTCGGCTCATAACATAGGCCGCGCTCGGACCGAAGCAGGAACGAAGTATATACATGGGCTATCGACGGGCATAAGTTTAGTTTATTTTATTTTCACGGAATTTTTTATACAAAATTTTAAATATCGTCGACAATTAGATTAACCGATATTTTGAAACCCCTTTATAAAAAAATGCCAATTTTTATTTCGTCCAATTTTTTTTATTATTGCTGCCGATCACACGAACTTTCAATTGGCTTGATGCGATTTCCCCCTTTTTTTGTTGTATCTTCTCTAAAAGTGATCGAAATCGCACCCACGTTCTCAGAACGGCCAAAGACAGTTTCCGCAAGTCGGCTTCGCTGAAAAGACTACACTGCTTATTTTTGTGTTAAAATGCAGCGGGTAAATGTTCCATCATCCGGTGTGTAAAACCAGGGCACAAAGGGCGGAGAAAGCGGAACGAGCTCTTCATGTAGCCAGATCGGGGACATATATCTGTTTGTGCTATATACAGCTTGTAACGCACGTGCAGCACGCCTGGCCCATCGCGCTATATATATATAGGCCAGTCTCCGGATACACCCAGGAAGCACCCGGCATGGGGCGCTAATTCATGATGTGTCTTTTCGCGTGCGATCCATAACCATGTAAGTGCCTAATCTTTATTGGCAATGTGTATATAAAAAATATGTAATATCACTGCCCCTCTTTAAGAAAGAAAAGCAGTTTACAGAATAAAAAAAAAAAAGCGAGGAAAACGGACTGAGTGAAGCGAAGACAAGTTTTTAGAGAACACAAACACCATTCGGCGATAAATAGTCACTTTTATTAGTTAAAGCTAACATATTTAGGATGCACTTGTAAAACAATATGTGCTAGACTTGGGAAGTAAGCCGTTACAGGTAACGGATTACTTGTAATTCGTTTCTCTTTCAAGTAATTTTGGAATTGCCACGTTACTTGTTTTGCAGCAGTAATTTGTAAGCTAATTCCGTTACAAAATTTCGGTAACGGATTACTTTAACTACTCGTTACTTAAAAAAAAAAATGAGCATAATACCGGAACGGTAGCAATATCAGTCTGGGACCAACCGCTTGATCAAAGCATGAAAACGAGCGCTCGCGCCCTTGCATCTTTCAGTACTGCAGGCGACGTGCGCAATCGAGAGCATCGCTGTTGTCGGCCTTCCACAATTGGCCGAATGCTGACTATGACGTCAGCAAAGGATTTCTCTACGACGAAA